ATGAATCATCAAAAATTAATGATTAATCAAGTGAGTCATGCAATGAATCATCTTATGAATCATTACATTTCAAAACCATGTGCTAATAAACCATGTGCTCAAACCATACCACTAAGTGACTCATCTCATGACTCATTATACATGGTAAGTGCATTTCATAAATGAGAATACCAAATTATTATTACTAATACGGTATTTCATAAATACGGTATATAGTATTATTCCAATCTTTAACTAATTAGTCACTATATGACCAAATAAATCAAGAGTTGACCAAAAGTCAACTGTTGACCAAAAAGTCAACTAGTTGACTAAAAGTTAACTTTATGGGAAAAATACTAAAATTCATTTCCTAAGCACATAACATTCCGATTTTATCGATATACATAACCGTTTATGTGTATCCGGTAAAAAAAATCATATATGTGTATCAATCATACGCATCACTCTATAAATTGTGTTTCATAGGATTCAAGTACGCGCTTGGTGTGACTCTAGGGCCCAACTCAAAAACTCGGTAGTGGATCATATCCGCAAGTACAACAGAGGTGCTAGCTGCACATGAAGACTATCCGGGTATGAGTTGTGATAAAGGTTTGCAAGATGTTTATCCAATTTTATCAGGATCACTCAGTGATAATGTCGTACAGTCCGATCTCTTCGTCAAACCATGTCAAACTATTGAGCCTAGGATATGAAAAACCGTCAAACCCTAATTGCTCAATTAGTGTTTGTTGATATTAAACTGATAACCTATAAGATCAAACTGACACTCAGTTTATCTTATTTACCTCGGCCAAGGATTTCTAGGTTATAGTTATATCAAACAATCTTATGACATTAACCCCATATACTGGGAGAGACGGATCCCTTCTTGGCATCTCAATATCTACTTATGTCTCGGGATGTACCCAACAAGAACCATTATGCACAATTCAATTAGAATTGTGGTTAGGTAAAAGTCTAAATACATCTTTACTGACATATAAGATATTGCACTCATGCCTCAGGTCAAGAGACTACTATGTACTATATCACTTGAGAACTTCTATTTGACAGTTAAGTATATTACCAACTAGATGTTCTCGGCGAGTCATTCAGTCAACTCATTCACTAATGAGTCACCTGTATACTGTATCTTGATGTCTCACATCAATGATCTAAGAGATTGATCATCTCCTTCAAAAGGAGAAATAGAGCATACACTAGTCTTAACCAAAGTGATGATGTCCTATCTCAACACTTCATCAACTAGGAACATTTTAGAATATACGTTACTTCAAATCTCTTCATTACGATCACTATCCAAAATGTCTGATAGTCTAGTATTTATTCTAAAGACATTATCTGTATTTTTAGAACATCAGATAAATCTGATCAAAATAGCATACTATTATTTTGAACAAGGATGTTATATACATATAGGTCCTGTTACAATATACAATAATTGCCTGCAGGTCACCTATATCTAACAAAATAATCCATAGCTTTTATTAATTTCTTTTTTCATTTCAAACCTAATGGTAATAAAGTATGAATATCTTAATTTGTAATTTTTGGGAGTTAAATACCAGAATTTTTTGTTCAATGTTATTTGTTTCAGCCAAATGGCAATCAATTACGTGTACTTAAAATTTTCAGGATGTAGAGAGTCAAAATTCACAATGTCCAAAAATTTTGTAAATTTTCCTTCATTTCGACTAATGACTGTAAATTTGCAAGTTCGCGATATTAAGTACTGCATAAATAAATAACCACGGTTTTTGCCTAAATTTACTTCATTTTTAACCCAATGGCAATTCAATATGGGGTTCTTCAAACTTCACAATTTTTCATAAGCTATATAACCTGTGGTTCTTGTTTATTCCATTATTTCTACCTAATGATAGTTAATTATGCATAAATCAAAATTCACAATTTTCATTTCGATTAAATACTCCTATTTAAATACTCCTATTTTAAAATTCTTGATTTCGTAGGCTACATAACCCATTGTTTTTGTTCATTTTCTTTCATTATGGCACAATGTTAATTAAATATGTATTTCAAAATTCATAATAAGCTATCACCCATAATTTTTTTCTAGATTCATTCGTTTCGACACGACAACAATTATGGATGCTCTAAAATTAGAGATTTTCTTGGTTATAACTAACGGATTTTCTTTATTTTCATTTCATTTCAACCTAATGAAATTAAGCATGTGTACTTAAAATTTTGCGATTTTCATAACCCCCCATGATATTCGTCAATTTTCGTTTGCTTCTACCCAAGAGTTATCAAGTATGGGTACTTCAAAATTTGTGTTTTTCATTGACAGTATACTATGATTTTCTTTATGATAATTAAATTGTGTACTTTAAAAATCATGATTTCATAGCCTATAATCCATGAGTTCTATCAATTTTCGTCAATCTAGATCCAGCACACTATGCTTATTTAAGAACCACAATGTTTGTTCATTTTGTTCATTTTAACTGTATCGTTGTTAATTATGCATACTTCAAAATACGATATCTATTTTTACGCATATTCTAAAATTCACGATTTTCATAGGTCATAACCCACGATTTTTACCCGTATTGGTTTGTTTTGATCTAGTAGAAATCAAATATGTGTATTCTAAAATTTACATTTTTCATGGACTATATACTATGGTGGGTATCATTTTCATTCATCTTCACCCAGTTACAATTAAATTTGTGTACTTTAAAATTCGCGATTTCATGAGCTATAACCGACAACAAGTTTTCTTAATTTTTTTAATGTTTTTATTAACTCGGCAATTAAGCAAGCATATTAAAATTGTAATTCTTAACCATTTTCTTCATTTCAAATTGGATGGCAGATAGACATGGGTACTCTTTTAAGTTTACAATGTTGTGTACGACAATAAAGACTGAAGAACACATGGGAGATGTTGATTCTCTGGGCTTTGAAGAAGGTGGTGGTAGAGGGATTATATTTAATGCCCTGTTTGGATGTAGGGTAGAGAGGGGGAGGGGAAGAGAAATGTAGCTTTCACCATGTTTGGGAGTTTTTGTAAGGAGGATAGAGAGGAGGAAGGAAGGGGCCCGATTCGGACGGTAAAGGAGGGTAAAAGGTGCAATGACATTTTTACCCCCCATCAAAACAAATAAAAGGGCTGATGTATTAGTATAAGGTCATTTGTGTAAATTTACATATATTTCATTCTCTTCCCTTCCCTCTATTATTACTCCCAAACAAGTTATATTAATTTGACCTTCATTCACCTTACTCAACTCCCAAACAACATATTACAATTCTCTTCCCTTTCCTTCCCTTTCCTTCCCTTCCCTTCCCTTCCCTTTGTTTACCTTTCCTTCTCTTTCCTTAGTAAACTCCCAAACACACCATAAATTCAACCGAACAGCTATATACTATGTTTGTTATTCAAGGAATTCTTTGCTATTCAAGGGCTCAGACCTGATACAACCGAGTCGAAGAAGAAATTAAAGTTCCATTGAAGAGTTAATTAACAAAAGCCAAAGCAACGGTAGACATTTTTGAGCCATAGAGGGTGGCATTAAAACTTTTACATCTATCTACATTTTGAAGTAGAGATAAAACGAGTTCGTGAATAATGTTATTGGGTTTAGTGTCAAGTCTTTTACCGTGCACGAGTCTCTTACTTGACAAATCACCAGTACAGAAGGGGATGTATATGTTTTACGTTGTTCCAAAAGCTTGAGGATCTTACACAAGCCTTATTGATCTGATCTTGGAAGATTCTGTAATCATAATGATAAGTCTCATTCTGGTATCGCATAAAACTAGCCCTTCACGCCCAAAACATTCAAGGTTTTCATAGGCGGATAATCCGTGACGTACATTCTTTTTTTTTTTTTTGGTTCCAACACCATCAGCAGCTCATAAATGATCGTGTCGATCAATCAACACTACCACATCGAACCTGCAACAACAAGCATGGAAGCATCAACAGCTCGTTTAGTCAGATTTGAAACACAACGTTACACCTTTCCATCATGCTTGAAAACCAGAAACTAGAAAAAAAAAATAAACAGAAAAAATACGGAATTAGTTACAGGTTTGGGCATTATTGGATTCTCACCATTTCATGTTTTCCAGAACTGCAGACAATTACAGAAGTCCTGTCAAGCCCCTCAGTACATAATATGATCAGCGCCTGTCAAGCTATTAAAGGAGATCCATAAACCGACCTTACGGAACTTCATCGTTGTGAGAGTGAACAATATTTGTCCGAATGACTCTTTAAGATGCCCATGTAAGAAAATTTTGAAACCTGTTACTATTTCAAAAGACTTACTGGTGAAAAGACTCGTGTAATTAAGAATGACAAACTGCTGCAAAACAGTGTAAACAAATTCTCGTCATATAAGATTAATGGAAAAAAGGTTTTTGCTTATAAATCCAAACTTTTACCCCCATTTACTTTAAAACACGCAGTTCCATATGTTCTCATACACCCAAATTTTGTATTTTGCCTGCTCTTAAACCCAAGTATAGAATATAAAGTGTATAGCTATACATACAATACAATAGGTTGCTTAGCGACATACCATATTGTATAGCTACACACTTCTCGGTGTATAGCCACATATCATACTGTAGGTAGGTAGTTTAAACGTAAGTAACTTTGTATTCATGGTAAATGCGAACATATGGAACTAAGCAGGTTTTAAAAAAATGAAGGTAAAAAAAAAAAAGAAATGGGACAAGACTTTTGAGTTTCTAAGCAAAAAGCCCTAATAAAATTAAAGGCGGATCACTCTACCTTGATGAAGGACTTCCGCAAGTAGCAACAAGCAAGAGTCCAACATTCTGCTCTTTTCTTACTGCATGGAAACATCATGGAAGCTGTGAAGCATATCAAAAGAAAAGTTTTCTGTCATCCTATCCACAATAACTAGAGAAATCTAACATATGTTGTAAATAGCTAAATATGAAAACAGTGTCAAAATTCAATGTACGTAAACCCATCCATGGAATAATGACCAGAGAAATCTAATAACACGTCGTAAATAACTAAATATATGAAAACCCCATCAGGGCTTAATGACTAGAGAGTTCCAAGATCACATAAATAATACTGTCTTCATGCCATAATTATAGCATCATAAATATATGAAGCACAATGCACCAACACCCAATAGGGGTCATCATAAATGGCAAAACCAAGGCAATATGACATTTTCAAAGTACAATTCTGTTGCCAGCAATCAATTCTGATCCCCTGGAAGAGATTGGATGTTAGCTATCTGCATCAGGACATCCTCCCATACTCCTTCCTTGCATGGGACGGCAGAGTGGTCGGAATGTTGTGTCCATCTCTTCGTCCTAAAGCACAAAGGCAGCAATTTAATATCGTATATAGAAAAAGACGCAATGAAAACTATATCCGAAACACGAACAAAGATTGCTAAATTTTGCTTCGAGAGGAATAAAAAACTATGACTATACAGACTGAGGTAAGATATATATTAACCTGCAACTTGTAACCTAGGGTTGAAAACAAAATTGCAGAACATTCAGGTAGGAAAGTTCTTCTGACATCGAAAGTTCTAATCTACATTTTCTCTAGACCTCTTCCTAGAGTGCATTTGGTCCAGATATAGCTCGGATATGATACTTACCATATTCATATCCGCTTACCCAATGTTACATTAAACGATGGGCGCTTCTAAGCGTCGGACTTGACGCCCAGCGCTTAGTCGCCTAGGCGGACGCCTAAGCGGTTTCTGAGCATTTTTTTTTCCTTTTTTTTTAATTGTGATACTTGAAAATAAATAAATATATATATATATATATATATATATATATATATATATATATATATATATATATATATATATATATACTCAATCAAAGATGCATAAATACTAAAATACCAACACTATTAACTAAATTGCTTGGTTTACCAATTACAATAGCTCTTTGTATGTTTATACTTCTCAACTCAAATTATAAGTTCATCTCAACTCAAATTACAATATGTATTAAATTCATATAAATTTTCATAAAAAGATAGCAATTTTAGTTCCTCAATAAATCATGCATACTTAGGTACTAAATAACCAAAATAATAATTAACAAGGCTAGAGCCTAAGATGTTTTCTTTTTTTATTTTTAATTACAATAATTGATAGTGAATGTCAATGTTACAGAAAGCTTAGATGCCGGACTGGTGTCTAGGCGGATTTCTTTCTTCATTTAAGTGGTGGTCAATGAGGTTTTTTTGAAGGTCGGAGGAGGTAGTGGAGGTGTTCATATTTGGAGGTTAATGGAGTTTGGAGGACGTGTAGGCTACAACACATAAAATCACAATCAAGACCTACAGCGTGCAATCCACGTAAGCAGATAATGCTCCCCTAAACGCTCGTAAAATCTAGGTGGACAGCCTAAATACCGCCTAGACGCTAGGCGCTAGTTAGGCGGCCTAGGTACCGCCTAGGTCTAGGCGAACGCCTAAGCGGACTAGACGGAGGTTTTTTAAAACAGTGCGATTACCCATCACGGATACGAATATATCTCGATAAGGAGAACTCATTTCCATATCCACTAAAATCAGATACGGATACGGATACAGATATACATCCGAATATAAGCAGATGCGCATGGCGATACAAAACGAATATGAGAAAACTAGATAATACTGAAAAAAATATAGTCCATTGCATACAAGAGTTCATTAATATGCTTGTTATACCTATAAAGCTAAAGATCAGATATCTTGATCATCAAAATTAACCTCAAATCCATTAATCTAAGGATTAATGTTGTTGCAACAATATGAGCAATATGAATTCGGATATTTCGGATACGGATCCCAATAGTTAGCTACATAACCATATTCGTAACCATATTCTATCGGTAATAAATTTAAGTGACCATGTCTGTATCCTAACGAACACGAATATTTTCTTAGATACAGATTTTTGTGCACCCCTACCTCTCCCTTAATATTTCCGTCATCATTTTTATTTGCTTCCTTTAATTGTTATGTGATTTGCATCAGTTCCATTTAAGTACGACATTCGTCTGTATTAAATCTCATCAATCCCCACGATGTAGAACAATGTAAAAAAAATAAATTGATTTGGTAAACGAAACATAAGAGGTGAACTTCTCAAGATAGCGGATCACGCTGATGATTAAATACATGTCATATGTTGCCTAGGTCACAAAGGTTGACACTTGACAGTCATACAGACAGTGAATTTTCTTTGTTTTTCTTTCACCTTTTTAGGATTTTCTTTTCTTTATTCATTTGAAATGCTATTATAGGCTTTAAGAAAGGCTCTCCAGTAATTCCTAATTCTACGGTAATGTCGGCAATTCTAGGCACTGATCACTCTCACACTGATCCTTCAACCAGCCATAGTCGACCATCAAAAAAGGGTGGACTCCCTAAACCAAAACAAAAAAAAACACCCCAACCAACCCAAAAAAAAAAATCCTTCAACCAGGAATAACTGAAAATTGAAAAAGGGTGGGAATACTATGGGGGCTTGTTCATATCCCCTTACACCCACACCACCAAAAAAACCCTGAGGAATCCACTATTAAAGCATAAAACCATAACAACAGAAAAGAAAAGAAAAAAAGAGGGATAAAACCAGACATTTCATCAACACATAAAATTTCCAATCTAAAACAAAAACAATAAATACTAAAACAAACACAACTAATTCAAAGTAGGAACTAATAACAATAAAAGAAATAAGTGCATTACAAGTTTCTGTTCTACAAAATAGAATCAAATGGTGAAATTGACCACTGACATCCAACAAGTAGATAGAAACTAGGTAAGCAAACAAAGAAATCTCTTACTTGGTATAGAAACATTGTAATTCTTGAAAGTAGCCTAGTTTGATTCTCAGCAAAAGTCAGATTTTAAAGTTCTCCAAAAAATTGAGGGGAGAGGAGGGGCATAAGAACAGCAGTTCCTAGGCATTACTTGGCATCTAACCATACACAAGCATTTACTGAACAATTGATGATTACTCCAAAAATAAACAACTTCAATTAGAAAATACATTCGCTTGAACAAACAAAAATTAAATATTCACGTATATGTTACATTATCAGACTGCAATTTCTGAACTGTATCAAAAGGACAGATTGATGTAAAACATAACTACGCTAGTTTATATATCCTAAAGACCGCAGTTGTAGTTTCCATATTGCTTATGCTAAATAAAGTAAAATGCAACTGAGCAAAACCTTATACGAGAACATAAAAATTATAAGAAACAGTAATGGCTAAGATGAACCACAATTCCTGTAAGATATTGTTAGATTTGATGATTACCCCATGACGTGCCACCGCTGAACATTGTCTGTGCAGCAGAGTGTACATGTGGCCCAGAAAAGTTACTGGGAGCTCGTTGACCTTTGTGATGTATTCGTTCACCATGTGAAAAATTTGAATATTGATTGTGACGGTAAGAAGATGGTTGCCCAAAACGGCTCAGAGAATTTTGTGAAAACGGTGGCAGCCGGCTATGAGCAGCATGCATACTATGTGCATAATGGGAGCCACTCTCAGCACGTGAATGCACCTGAGATGCTCCATCTATCCTGTAATCAAACAAAGGAACAGGAGAATAAGATTTCATACAAGGTGGAAGGAAATAGCCAGGAAAACAAGACATGCCAGCGGACCTCACTCAAAAATGAAGCTCAAAAAGTTCAAATATATGGAAAAAAAATTAGAATTATAAATGGAAATAGTGAATAAAACAAGCAAAAAGTACTGTACAATCAGCATCTCATAAGCATAGAAAAGTAAATTGACATTGTACAAGTATCACTGCAGGCAGTAAGAACTTATTAACAGTTGGGAGGACATCTTAGCGACACCAATTGATTAGTATACAGGACAACCTGCACTGTATACAGCTATGATTAAGTTACATAATTAAAATAACTTCTGTTGTTTCAGAAGGCTCCGGGTTCAACCATATTAAAACAGAATGCGACAGCAAAATCTAGACAATACTTCGAAATTTTAACCGAAATCATTCTTAGCATTAAGTTCATAAGCTTTATATCTGTCAGGCAACGGGGCTATATCACTAACAGTAGTAATAAGTTCACAAAAAAATAATACATACCTTTGATTTGATGAGACAAAACTTGAGTTTATGCGAGCTTGGCTATGACTCTGACTAGATTTCCCAGCTTCATTTAGTACCGAGGCATCAGTTGCATTACCAAGGCAAACACTTCTAGTAATTCCAAAGGCCAAAGAGTTGGCTTCAGAATTGTCCTCTTGTAAAAGCAGTTCATCACTGAAGAAGAACAATAATTATATACTGAATGTAGACCAAATAGCATGTGAGACACAAGTTAAGCAGATAATAAGAAAATGGATAGCCCTTATCCATGATAGCTAAATAACTATGTAATACAGAAAAAGATTTTTATATCATTTAGTTAGACATCAACCAATAAATTGTTGTTAGGTAATTTCAGATTAGCAGGTTTCCTGTTTGGATTTAATGATTGAATTTTCTATAATAAAATTTGGCATCTCGTCCTGAGAGTCAAGGTGTGGAACAAAACATATGTAGCCAGCCACATGTTTTATGGTTGTAATAAGGAAAACAGTGACATGAACTATTCAGAAATAGCTTACAGCACTAATTAAAATTTCATAAAGTTCCATGTTACCAAATAAGCAGTCATAAACCTTAAAAGGTCCAGGATTTAATCATTACCTATAATTTGGATCCCAATCAGCAGGATCAGGAACTGAAGAACTACTTTCAAGCTTATCATGAGAAACTTCTGTAGAACGAGATGGGAGAGCATTGGTATTAAATGCCCTGGATGCAGGAAAACCCTGATTATTTGTAGATGGTCCTGTTTGTTGTCTCCAACTAGAATGATTTGTAGCTGAAAAGGTATTGCAAGGAGAACCAACATGTCCTCGAGCAAGTGCATCAGACTGACAACTGATATCATCACCTTGATTTCCCTGCCATTGGGGAGATGCATTCTCATGAGGTTGCATAGAAGAAGTTCCATGATGGCCCCAACTTCTCCTCCTGTTATATTGGCTATATTGACTGACCGCAGCTGCTTTACTCAATGGAGAACCATGAACACTGCCTCTTGCGGGAGAAGTGGGACCATACTTTCCAGGAGAAACAGTTGGTATCTGCATCTGTGAGCTTGGAGGAGTAAATTGTGAGGGACTGGCACCAAGAGACATAGGTCCCAGACTTCCAGTAGGACTCATACCAAATCCATTTCCATGAGACATGTGAGGTCTACGTCTAGTATCTGGACTAGCACCAAGGAATGGTCCTCCAACTTGTGTTTGTATGTTCACTCCAGGACCTACTGGTGAGAAATATGAATACATATTGTTAACATCACCATAACTCCCATAGCTACTTCCCAGGCCAGTATGATCATTATAGCTCCCATGGCTCCCAAGGCTACCAAAACTACTGCCATGAGACATTGGCACCATATGAAAATGTGGGCTATTATGTTGAGGGAACCTGTTTGAACTTGGAACCTATAATGGTTGAGCAATCCTCAAAACTCATAAACCATCCATTTGAACAAAAATACAAGATTATGTACACTGGACATTGGTATATAAAGATTATGAAATGCAAATTTCACAAATGACAAAGAGGCTTAGGCATCAACCTGAGGGGATAAACCAGCTGCAACCCAATGCCCACCCCCTGGATTATGATCCACAATAACAGAATGCACGACAGGCTGCCAATAAAAAATTTCAGTTTCAGTACCAGACTAGATCAAGCTGTTCTTCTTAAATGATGCAAACAACAGGCATCTCCACTTTCACACCATTAATCTTTTAAGTTCATGTATAGACACATGTATGAACCTACAACCCACCCTCCCTCTGTCAATAAATCAGTGGCAACAAACATTCTATCTTGCAACAGTCTTCAAAGGGAACAAAGTGATTATAATATTTAAAGTATTGAGTACCATTCTACCCATAATAATTTTGTTCTTGGTTCATGGAATGTCTGATAATACACAAATAAGATGTAACCAAATAACATTATATTACTAAAATGATCCAAAATTTAAATAAAAGAGCTTGCTTACAATTCGAGAAGTTTCTGGAGGAGGTTGATAAGGGTACATAAAGGGTTCTCCTGTAACAAATGGATGACGTGATGCCTAGAAAACATTACCCCAACATGAAAACGCTTTGTCAACAAAGACTTGATAAGTTAGTAATTCCATACAACAGAAACAATAAACTGGGTATTTTAACAACCTGCAAAGGTGACCACCGTTTTCCAGGATCAAACTCAACAAGTCCCCTCAGAAAATCAACTAGGGCTAAACGAGAAATGTTTTCTGTCCGAGAATCAGGGGAGAAAAATTGTTAGCTAAATGAGAAAAATTAATAGTAATGCAGCCCTAAATAAAGTACAAAATGAGGTCACATGCAGTTTTGCAGATTTAAAAATAACATCAGACAGACCTTTAGAAATTTCTTCTTCAGAAAGATTTTTTTTGTACGGATAACTTGCAATGATGTCCTCAAGCTTAACCTTGCTGAAGTATCGTTTTCCTATTATTGGTTTTTGAGATACCCTCTAAAATTTGGGGTTAAAATTTTTGATTAGAAATAAGAGAGGTGTAAAATATATATTTTCTTGGGTTGTTTGCATATATAACCCTAAAATCATGGGTATTTCTAAAAATGCCCTCCAAATCTTCGTATTTGCAAAACTACCACTCAAATCATCAACTTTGGGGAAAATACCCCTAAAATCAACAAATCATCAGCTCAGTGATAAAAATTTGACTATTTTGTTGATAATTTTCATATTGCTATTAAAAATTAGCGTATCAAAGTTAATGATTAACTGTTCTGACAGCTTTTCCCCCCAAAGTTGATGATTTGAGAGGTAGTTTAGCAAATACTGAGATTTAGAGGGTATTTTTGCAAATACCCATGATTTGAAGGGTATATATGCAAATAACCCTATATTTTATATCAATGCCAACACTCACAGCTTCATACTCCTCTTCAGTTAAAATACGGTATGCACTTGCATTTCCCTTGTGGGCCTCCTCCAAATGATAAATACTTGCCACATGCTTAAAGAACTTATTTGTGTCTTTTGCATCTCTAAGAAGGTCATCAGGAGGTTGACCACTACAATAAAATGGATAGTGGAGAAAATATCAGCAATAATATAATGCGACTGAAATTGAGGTACCAATTCCAGAAAACAAACAATGATTCTGCAAACAACCAATCGACAACGATGAAAAACTTCACAAAGAGCTGCATGAATACATCACTATTTATCGGTAATTACATTCTTTATTAAAAAAAACTAAACATATTCACAAAGAAGAAAAGTACCAGAAGAGTAGAGGTGTAAATGAGCCAAGCTTAGACTAAATTTACTCTTATGCTGGACAAATATACAATTTTGCATTAAAACTTTGCATAATGCATGTTCTAGTTCTCTTATTCAATTTCAAACTGAACTGAATGTTTACATTCCGGCTAACTGTTTTCTGGGATTTCAAATATCCTATTGCCTCTACATTCTTGATAATGTTAATTGATGTATAACAGATACAAGAATATGGGGTAAGCTGCGAATAAAAAATGGTGCTTATAACTTTTAAGGATTCAACGAAAGTACTAAACACCCATCACATGTTTACACAAACAGATATCCCATGATGATTGACTATATTTGACTTATTTCCACCTTAGCAACTACAGATGTATATTTCTCAGTTAAAATAATACTTAGTTCTGAGATATACAGCTCAATCATATTGAATATGGTCAAGACACCTACCTTGAGTTTGGCTCATTTATAAGTTTGAGCTCAACTTTAGGCACAAAGTTGGCTCAGCTATTAACAAAGTCCAAACTACATCAAGCAAAAACACAAAATGTTCTGGGAAAAAACAGAGGAAACATAACACAGATTTGTGTCGAAATGAATACAGATCAGGCCAGAAGGAGAAAGTATAAAGCAAGTAGTGTATGTCATTCCTAAACAAATGATAGCAGCTTCCTCAGTTTGCAGCCTTCACTTCTTTATGTAAACATATTTCTCAATGCTAATGGTTATTTTAATTTAAGGGCAGCGCCAACTTTTGTTATGTATTAAACTCTGGTGCTTTATCCAGAAAAGTAGTTCAAAAAATTAATCTCTAATGAGAATACATAAGACCGTAACTTTTCACCTATCTTTTGGAAACAGGTCTCTGAAACTTGGAGGACCATGATATCAGGAGATCAATATTACTAAATCCTGATCATATGCTTGTAAATTGTAATTTAAAGATTATCATGAAAATTTTTATCATAGAGCATTGCTGCAGTCATACAGACTATTAATCTACTATAGAAAAGAAGAGCTTTTAATTTAGTTTTGCTCTTTTAGGTATTTCAGAAATTACTCAGTAGAAGATACTGTTTTCATTTGCAGGCTAGATAAGAATACCAGGATGGAAAAATGAAAAAGCAGTGTACCCAAGTATCTCAATCATCCGCTTAAGAAGATCATATTCTGATGCCCCGGAAAATAAAGGTAAGCCAAGGAACAACTCAGCGACAATACACCCAAATGACCACATGTCAATGGCAGTAGTATATCTATTTGTATGTTAAGCATTAAACTAAAGATTCACCTCAAAACTTACAACAAATTACTAAGAGTAGCAACCAATAGACACCTAGTGTTAGCTATTCAAACAGCAGTGAACTGAATTTGAGGACTAAAATTGGAGTACGAATCAGGTGCACAGGGTCTACGAAACTACATTGAAAACATAAATAGGCACACATACAAACCACTAGCGAGGGCCCCACCTATATTACATCAGCATGCAAAATTATTTACTTCATTTATGATATAAAATAGAATTATAACCCAGCCCTGACCAACTTCGCAGTTTTAGTGTAGTGGCGAGGACCTTTCAGGTTTGAATCTTATTGGCCATGAATTTTTAAAGCAGATTTACAAAAGATATAGCTTCGTGAGTCCAGATTTTGCCCCATGAAAGGGCCATCAACCTGCGGAGACATGTTAGTATGAAATTATAACCGAAAACTCTCACCATGACTTCAAAGTTTTAGTGCAGTGGCAGGGTCCTTTGACAATATATATGACACTAAAATACACAAATCAGATGGAAGGTCCACTGCTGAACTCTTGTAAAGCTTAAAAATGTGGGATAAATAAATAAAGGCAGCAAGGATACGGATAGCCGAGCAATACTTCTGGAGATCTGTAGTATCGACTCTGCAGCAGAAAACAGGTATGAGTCAGAGATACCAAAACTGGTAGCAAACGCAATATACAACATATGATATACATGGAGACCTGTATGTATGAGTATACTGTGTGACCCTCCATGCAGGCTGATCCAAAATCAATTACTTTTATTTCCGGCTTCGTACTGTATAGTCAAAATTCTAAAAATATAGTTTAATGATTACAAAATCGCAGACAACATATTTGAGTCTTAACACTAAGCACTCACCTTGTAGATAAAAGTATATTTTCAGGCTTCAAATCACAATGAATGATGCCAGCTTCTTTTATGACAACCAATGCATGCAAGATCTATGAGGATGATATTTAAAAAAAAGTGAATCAGGTAAGATAACAATATCACCATTGAGAAAGTCATATGAAACTGAGAAAATGTATAACCTGTTTTGAGAAAACTTGGACAAGGCTCAGGGGAATTCCTCTGTATTGGTTCATTTTAATAACCTCATAACTAGAAGACAAAGAAGCATTTCTAGGCACCATCAGAATTGACTTAGAAATTATTTGTTAGGTTATCAAATCATGTAGTGTTGAAAGATCTAGCTTACAGATTTGAACCAAGCATCTCAAATGATATGCATAGATGGCGTTGAAATATGAAATAATCAAGAATGCGGACAATGTGGCGTTTTTCGTCATGTCCCAGATTCTGATTCAGCTGCAAAATTAAAGAGAATTAACATCAAAAGGTCTAATTTAAACTATGGAGAGAAAAAAAAGTCAACTTGAGATTGGCTGACTTCTAGCATTTCATTTACCGTGGTCAAAATAGAAACCTCAACTAGTGCCTGGCGATAATAAGCAGCATGGTTTTTAATAACCTTAACTGCAACATAACTGTCACTCTCCGGAACCCAGCACTTTACAACTTGTCCAAATGTCCCATGGCCAAGAAGGTCTTTAACAAAGTACCTAGCAGAGGGGAAAAAAGGTCTCGAGAGATGTAAATTTCTTTATATTTTCCTATAACACCACTTATTAGATATACTAGGTTCAATAATTTCATACGAAAATTTGTGAGCATGTCAAACTGTCACCAGAAATGCTTAATACACTGGTAACTGGAGCGCATTGCCAAAGAACAAAAAAATTGTGAAGTCACTTCCCAGAATCTATTTCTCGACCAATAAAAAAAAGTAAAAAAAGAAACAAGAACCTAGAAGTGGATACCTATGAATTTGATGATGCAACAAGCATCCAACTCCATCAAATGCATACCTATCAACCTAGAAGTGGATAGCTTGAACCTGGGACAAACCACGCTAAATTAAGCCGCCTTACTCAAGAATTCCATCCCTACTAGGAGTCCTAACATGTGGAAGTGCAAATGCAACCAGGAAGGATTGTTTGAAACTAATCCAAACAAGAAGGTTAGTTGTGAAAATTCCTGTCTAAAACAGAATCTATATTTTGGAATATCCCAGTCAAAACAATATCAATTTGGATGAGCTATCAAGTTTAAGATCATTAACTGTGAAAGTGAACGCAGAAATGCTCTTCAAATTAAAGATTACAGCTCTAATCCAATCAAAACCCATGATGATTAACATAGATAAAATTATGCAAATTGAACTTAGCGACTTCAAACTTGCAATGCATCTCTTTGTCAGTCCAACTTTTAACAGTGACCTCATGTTGATTGTAACTTAGGTCCTATCCAAACTGTGTGGCAAGAAATTACATCAAATTACAAGGTAGCGCAAGAAAGCCAAACCTATAAAAGAATAATTGACAATTCACACTAAATTAAAGCTAGTATAACTTGAATGCAGAACATGATGAACTTCAGTCCATCTTGACAGGAGTGCAAAACCCCTCCATCTCCATCAAATTCTTCCCCACAAAACCTGACACCTAATCAAGGGGAAAGAGGACAAAAAAATTGCCAAATTGGTAATGAAAATCCAAAGATGCATAGTGGGACCATGCAGCTGAAAGAAATTCAGGAGTCACCAAATCGATCTTAACTCCAAGAATGCTATGATTTGAAATTATGATGGATGGCGAAGGAGCGGCAACAACAACAAAAAAGTGGCTGCATAGATAGTAATGTTGCTGCAGTGGGAACCAGAAACTTGGCAGCAGCTTTGCAAACGAAAATGGATTGATAATTGATAGCTGCATAATTGCAGCATCAAGTATCTGGCAGCTGCATAGATTGCAATGTTGCAGCCCTGGAACGTGGTGAAGGGGCAGAGGCATGGCAAGGAGATGATTTTTTAATACGGCAACAATGCAAAAAGACAACAATTGATGGACTAGATTCATGGTTGCTAATTGTTCCAGAAGGACATTTATGCTCCAAGAGGTACATGCACTCTCCAAAGAGAATCTTCATTTTGCTAGTTAGCAAGTTGCGATGCAACATGACATGCAAGAAAAGTGCGCCAAAAGGCGGTATAAGATGATCTTATACTTAAAATTACTGTCTTAGCACTCATAAGAACGACAACTAGGTTATGGAAGTATTTAAGATAGTCCACAAGATCTCTACGCAATTAAGCATGTAATATCATTTCCATTTGGCCACTCTCAGTTACATTTTTAAGTTCTTACACAGACAAAATCTTGCCAGTGAGTAGCAAGTAGTGACAAATAAAGATTAATTCTTTTGGTTATGGATTGAACCATCCCAAGAAACAAATGCCCATGGTTCACAAACATCTGAACAAAATCAAGAAGACCAAATAGAACCAGCCGATCAAATGCCCATCCAACAGCAGAAACTCAATTATCCAAACAAAGCATGAAGTCAGGGTCACCAGCAGAGGACTTTCTCAGCCCTTGGTTTCTTCAGTTTAACCCATACAAGCAGTTCCCGCAATAATTGCATCCTGTCTTATTTCTATTGTTGGATACTATTCTTCTATTTCTTGACCAAAATCTTGATATACAATTTCAGTCAGTGTAGCATCCAATTAACTAGCCTCATTTAGTTTCTACGTACAATTCAAAGCACTGCATAGTCTCAAGTATACCATTTATTAACACCAGCATAACAAGGAAACTTCAGAGTTCATGTTTTCAATTTTTATGGTTTACGATGTTTGATTGAATACTTGAACTCACTAATCAAAGTCCAACAAGAGTATGAGAATATCACAGTTCCATTGCAAGTTAAGTTGTGTGAAAATGGGTACCAGTACCCATAAGGGTGTGGGACATACCAAATTTGTAAAATGTAGGGTACGAGGACACAACTGTATGTGTAGAGACTAGGGAAATATGATTGTAATGAGCCAATCTTAAATTGAATCTAAGGATGCACCTTCAAAATTACATTATATGCAATCAATTTACTTGATCCACTTCGTTCATTTTGATCTATATATTTTGGATGGTGTGTAAACAAAAAATTAGGCATATTAGATTGTAGTTACTCGTGCATCAAGTGGTTGTAAAATTAGCAATATTATGGCAATACAACTAAATAGAAAATGAAAATCGTGTTAGAAATATTGAAACATCATGATTTTCTATATTATAGATGTTTTAAGACATTCAGATCATGATGAATAGAGCGGATCGTCTATTGGAATAGCTCTCAATCCATGCATCAAGAGGTGCACCCTTAGATTCAATCTAAGGTGGCTCCTTAGAGTCATATATACGTGTGTATGAAAGAGAAATGTAGGAATTTAGTACCAAGCACAAAATTAGTGCTTGATAGTGAAGTGTCTCATTCTCATCTACTCTTCAATCCATGTGAATGTGATCCCCTATTTGAATGAGTGGATGGGAGTGATCCACCTCACTACCAAAAGTTACCTCCATACTATTATATATATATATATATATATATATATATTATTATATATATATATATATATATATATATATATATTATAGAGAGAGAGAGAGAGAGAGAGAGATTAATGGGTATCCTTGTCCTAGGAGGGATTTCCTCCTTGACGCCTCTAAAATCACATGATTGAGCGACATTATGGATGATCCGTTCCGTCGAACTTGATCTACATATTCTAAAACCCCAACACACCAAGTTTAGGGTGAATCCGTCGTCGTTTGACCCTCCATCAAGCCATGTGAAAAGTTCTATTCATTCAAAACGTTAAAAATTGATACGAGTGGGATGAAGGGTCAAACGACGACGGGTTCACCCCAACTTGGTGTGTTGGGGTTTAAATATGTAGATCAAGTTCAACGGAGCGGATCAACCATAATGTCGCTCAATCATATGATTTTAGAGGCGTCATAGGAGAAAATCCCCTCCTATGACAAGGATCCCATTATCTCATATATATATATATATATATATATATATATATATATATATATATATATATAATATATATATATATATATATATGATTGATAATGTGAGGTGCGTAGCTTATTTTACTAAGCTACCAAGAGAGAGTGGTGAGGCCCATTACTTCTTATGTGGCTATTAGGGTAGGTCTCACCATAGCTATCTCTTAGTAGCTCATTTAGCAAAATAAGTCGCAAGCTCGTACCCATTATGAAAATATGAAAATAATGGGGTATGAAGTGACGACTAATTTTACTAAATGAGCTAAGGAGAGATAATCATGTAGTGAGATTCAGCTTGCTAGTCACATCAAAGATATGGATCTCGTCACTTCACCTCTTGGTTGCTCATTTAGCTAAATGAGCCGCCACCTCATACTCATCTCTCTCTATACACGCACATATATGAAAAAGTATTCATAAGGCGACACCTTAGGTTCAATCTAAGGAAACATCTCTTGATTCATCGATTAGAAAATTCCAGTGGATAATCCGCTCTATTCATCATAATCTAAATGTATCAAAATATTCTGCAACCCAATATGTCTAATTTTTTATTTATGCACAATCCAAACATATAAATCGAAATGAACGGAATGGATCGAGTAAATTGATTGCATATAATGTAGTTTTTGAGATGCTTCCTTCGACTGAATCTTAGATTGAGTCTAAGGTGTCAGCTTATGAATAATTATAATATACATAGAAAAAATGTTCAAGCCACGCCGTTCAATTCGATTTATATGTTTTGGATTGTGCATAACGAAAAATTAGGCATAGTGGATTGGAGTTGCTCATGCATCGAATGAGTGTAAAATTAACGGTTTTACGAGAATACAACTAAAAAGACAATGAAACATATGTGTTACAAGTATTGAAACATCATGATTTTTGTTCTAAGCGTTTTCCTCAAAACCACCTCAAAATAGGGTAATTATACAAAAACCATACTTTTTCAATTTATACACAAACCACCTTTAAAGCTGATTTTATTACAATCAACCACTTCTCAAACAAATGTTTACTAAAAATAAGCTTAAAAATTCAAGTTCAATGTATGTGAGTTGTATCCTAACAAGACCTAAACACTAAAAGAATCAATCACCTCGCTTGAATGTGTTTTAATGGTAATTTAGGATCTTTAGTGAAAATTTAGACTAGGAGGTGATTGATTATAACAAAAATCAACTTTAAAGACAGTTTAGGTATAACTTGAAAATGAAAGATGGGTTGTACTTTCCATCCAACTAATCGCATCCACATGTATGACTGATATTCCTCTACATAACTACCAATTACCAAACTTGATGCTTGGTACTATATATATATATATATATATATGAGGAATATGGGTATTAGTGAAGTGACTCATCCTCATCCACTCATTTTCAAGGAGGGGACCGTTTTCAAGTGAGGACTATTCAAATGAGTGGATGAGAATGAGTTTCCTCACTACCAATGATCAAATTTTTTCTTGATACTAAAAAAACTCATTTTTCACTATATATTTATATGTATATATGAGGAATATTGGTATACTTGGTATCAAGCACCATATTTGGTGTTTGGTAGTGATGCGATCAACTTTTATCCACTCATTCAATAAAATGGAGACCATTTTTAAATAGAAACTAAGGTTACAA